TTTCCCAAAGTGATACTGATCCTATAGAAATCTGAGCAATTGTACGTCTGAAGAATTGTACAAGTTGTCCTCAAAGCATTGCTGAAAGAATTAGAATTTAATTTATCTGTAAAACAGTCCTGAAAAGTTCCTGGAGATGGTTTTCTATTAACACAATCATGGAAGAAATATATTTTCTCCTCTTTGATTTCTATCACATACACCTTATTAATAAACCCACCACCGCATTTAGCCTTATTCTTTACTACTAATGCATTATGTTTACAATAATATCTCCAGTGTGCCCTGTTCCATGACCAAGCAAGTTGCCTGTCCTCATGTTTTGTCCACAGCCATATGGATATCCTGGAACATTATAGGCACCAACACAACACAGATGTTGCTAAGGAGCCACTATATTAACTATTTGAGAGGATTCTATGTTCCTATTTCAACAGGTCAGTCAGTGTAATGGACTGTGAGAATAGTCTTGAGAAAGAGGAAGAGCTACAACCAAGACAATGTCAGATAAGAGAAATCTTAGCCCACAACAGAAATGGAATTTGACAAAGCATCTCAGTCATGATCTCCCCTCCTTCTTTTTAGGATAAAGGCAAGGAGGAGAGAGGAACATTCAGAGTTGCAAGTCAAAGCTTCAAAGCAGAGGAGACCACTACAATTACTTTTATTGTAGGGTTACAGCAACACAATTTTGTATCTTCCTGGAGCTCCAAAAAATTTGATTCTGTAGAAATTACAAAAATGCCATTCTATATGTAATAAGAATAATGATGATGAAGATGAAGAAGAAGATGATGTTGGAAGGGAACTTGGAGGTCATCTAGTCCAACCTCCTGCTCAGACAGGAAACCCTATACCATTTCAGACAAATGGCTGTCCAGACTCTTCTTAAAAACTTCCAGTGTTGGAGCATTCACAGCTTCTGGAGGCAGGTTGTTCCACTGGTTAATTGTTCTCACTGTCAGGAAGTTTCTCCTTAGTTCTAGGTTGCTTCTCTCCTTTCTTAGTTTCCATCCATTGCTTCTTCTTCTGCCTTCAGGTGCTTTGGAGAATAGCTTGACTCCCTCTTCTTTATGGCAACCCCTGAGATATTGGAACACCACTATCATGTCCCCCCTCGTCCTTCTCTTCATTAAACTAGACATATTCAATTCCAGCAACCGTTCCTTATATGCTTTAGCCTCCAGTCCCCTGATCATCTCTGTTGCTCTTCTCTGTACTCTTTCTAGAGTCTCAACATCTTTTTTACATTGTGGTGACCAAAACTGGATGCAGTAGTCCAAGTGTGGCCTTACCGAGGCATTGTAAATAGTTCTATGACTGCCTATGAATCTTTTCTGTTACTAAAAATAGAAATAGATTTATTTATTTGTAAAATGTAGAGGTTGCCCATCTTACCTCAAAGTAACTCTGGGTAGCTTGCAATCAAAAAATTATAGATGTAACTTCTTTCTCTTCCATACCTCCTGTTCTCTCCCCACTCTTTCAACTGCTCTGTCCTTATTTGGGAAATAAAGCTGTGTTTGGATGACACTATCTCAGAAGGCTAAGCAACTGGATATTTCTCCGCAGAGAACTTGGGAAAGTATTTGCATAGAATACTAACCTCTCTTTCTGGCTGACATGTTAGGTTTATTTTTTTAAATTCTCTTTATTTATTTTGATGCTGAGAAGTACATGGAGTCCTCAGTTTACAAGAGTTCATTTAGTGATCCTTCAAACTTATAACACCACTGAAAAAGTGACTTATGACTATTTTTCACATTTACAACCGTTGCAGCATCCGCATGGTCATGTGATCAAAATTCAGATGCTTGACAACTGACTCATATTTATGACAGTTGCCGTTTCCTAGGTCATATAATCATATTTTGTGATCTTATGACAAACAATCAATGGGGAAGCCAGATTCACTTAACAACCATATTACTAATTTTAAAACTGCAGTGACTCACTTAACAACTGTGGCAAGAAAGGTCATAAAATGGGGCAAAACTCACTGAACAACTGTATTACTTGGAAACAGAAATTTTGTGCTCAATTGTGGTCATAAGTTGAGTACTAGTATGATCCAGTTTGAATATCATAGAAACAGATTTAACTGCTTGGCTATATTTGGAGAACTAGAGGATAAAGTTTCTTATCTGCTTCTTCAGAAAGTAGAAGAGGAGCTTAAATTAGAGATTAGATCCTAGTTTAACACTGTGAGAGACTTCTTAATGCTGAAAATAATCAGTGTGAAAATGGGATTATTATTCGTCAGGGGTGAGCACAGCCTTTCACTGGAAGTTTTTTTTAGCTGAAGCTGGTATATTTTATCTATTGTTATAGATTGCTGTAACATTTGATTTCTTGCATCTTGCTTTTGGAATTGGGATAACCAGTAATCCCAAACTGCATGCCTGGATCCCAGTAACATGCTCAGACATAATGTGGTTTGTTCAACTTTGGCTAAACATGATATATAAACCCAGCCATTGATCTTTCATGTTTAGCAGTACCAGAAACTTGGATTTGTGCCATCAAACTGTCAGTAAATCATGATTAAACACTTTGTGTTAACTAAGACTTTTAGACAAAACCTTGAAATATTTTGGAACTGGCAAATTCTTAAACAAGGGAGTAATTCCTGATTCACAAACCTATTGTGGATGTGGATGCCTTATCAGCAGTTTTTGTCTCAAAAGGAATTTGCTTATAAGCAAGATTTCATGAGATTGAATTGTCAGGCTGCAGTCCTAAGTATATTTATAAGCAAATAAGCTCGCTTGTATAGGAGATCTACAGACCTACATTTGAGTAAGCAACCATCTTATTCAGGGTAAAGATTAGATTCTTCCAGATTTATTTCTGCATGAATCCTCACTACATATCCAGCAGCCACCATTATCAAAGGACATTTTATTATGCACTTTCTGTATAGCGTGTATCTGTAGCTACAATTACAATACCCGATTGACTGTCTGGTACCAAAGCAAAGAAAAAGCTCCTTCAAAAATCTTTATGCATTTTTCACCGTTCAACCAGGAAAAAGACAGATTGCCATGGTAACATCATAATGGAAAATAGGGCACATTTTTATCAATATTTGTCAGGCTTATGCTGTTAGATTTTTGCTTAGAAAACTACTCTGAAAGCAGAAAGAGACCATTGCATTTCAGGATAATCTGATCAGTGGGTAAATTATCACCAATGAACAAGCAAGATTGAATTGATAAGATAATTGGTTTTCCATAGAAGTGTATGTCAAGATTTAATGAAAAAAATCAAGATTAATTTTTAGTAAGAAGTATAAATGAAATATGGAATTAATTATTCTGAATGGGCTATTAGCATAATAGCTAGACATACAACATGCAACAAAAGGACTACAAAATTCACTGAGCAGGGAAATTGATGGGGAAATGTTAGCATAGTAAATGAAGTCATATTTAATTGTATTAATGTTCACACTAGTTCTTACATGGTTCTAATAAATTATGAATATATCAGATGCCATTAAATCATTTGGTCATAAATGAAATTTAAGTACTTGTTTTATTTTTTTCAGAATTACCTTGTGTGTGGACCGTCTACTATGAAGTTTCCCCATGTATATCCAGTTGTAATAAATGTGTCATTCATGTCAATGGACTCTGCAATATACTGGAGATTTTCTTCTTATGATTACATTTGTTTAATATAGCAACAATTCATGAATATGAATGCAATAATTGGGACAGAGGAGATATATAATCTATTTACCATACTGTATACATCAGGGAAAAATTAATGAAAAGCCTTTTTTAACAGATTTATATAAGCAATACTGCATTTTGGGGAAGTCTTTGTTTTATAACTAGATAAAACTGCACTTAGACAAAATTGCCTGAAGACAAACAAAAGTCATGTGTTTATCCTGCACCATCCAGATGTTTGGATTACAACTCCCTCCTTTTCCAGTAACATAGCCATGGGTGCAAAGCATAGCTTCCCATACAGTACTTTATAACAAAATTCATCCGGTTTCTTTATATAAAAATAAATTTTGGAAAGAGTGAACTGTAGCCTGTATAAACCTGGAGCAGAATAAATACCAGACGTGTAGAAGTTGCAAGAAAGGTGTTAATAATAATAATAATAATAATAATAATAATAATAATAATAATAATAATAATAATAATAATAATAAAAGTTGGAAGGGGCTTTGGAGTTATTCTTCACACATGATTTTCCATTTATACTTGACCAGGGGTAGGCAACCTTGGCTCTTTTATGACTCGTGGACTTCAACTCCCAGAATTTCTGAGCCAGCTGTGCTGGCTCAGGAATTCTGGGAGTTGAAGTCCACGAGTCATAAAAGAGCCAAGGTTGCCTACCCCTGCACTTGACGATCAGCTACCAAAGCTACCAGAAGACTAAAAGCAACTTTTATCAGGAGGAAAAATACTTTCAAGGGAAAGATACATTCTCCTCTGCAATGAAATCTGCCTTCCAGAGGATTTTGCAATAGAGAAGCAAATGTCTTTGTCATGGCTCTAATATAATTTGTAATTTGCCCCAAAGTGCAGTCAGCATCAAATAGGTTGACAGATAAGGTGGCTGAAGGCTTATTTCCTAATGTGCATTTGAGCATCTTTGGCCTTATCTTTTCATGTTGAGACTCACCATTTATTTATCGGATGAAAGAATGTAATGACTATCGACAGATTCACAGCTATGTTATTTGGAACTTATGTTGTGATTCAATAACTGAATGAGATGAGTCCAAAGAGACTGATTGTGTATTTCACAGTCACAACTGAAGCAATGGAACCTAACAATGATTTCAAGCTCTAAAGTAACTTAATTCCATCTTCTGCCTAGATATGCATACAATAATATCAAACAGTGAAAAAGAGGTCTTTGTCTGCTGAAATGTTATCTTTACTGAAAATAATGTTTTGGAATGCCAAAGGTATGGAGCTAGTGTAAGTGCTGCTTATTATTAGTCATTAATTACTGATATTTCATGGTTTTAGGACACAGCAGGTCAAGAGAGATATAGGACAATTACTACAGCCTATTATCGGGGTGCTATGGGCTTCATTTTAATGTATGACATCACCAATGAAGAATCTTTCAATGCTGTACAAGACTGGTAAGTAAAATTTATTTAGGAATAAATTGGAAATAAAGGATAATTGACCTGACAACCACATTTTGAATGTTATTGTTATAAGAATAACAGCAATTTGGTTTTGCTAAAGGTGCCTTTCTTATTAGCATGAATCTGATTTTGAGAATGATTTATTCTGGATTAAGCTGTGCCTCAGGCCAACTGCAAAACTTTAAAAGTTTCCACCCCTCATCAGTGACCAATTCAAATGTCTTCATAATAACACAAGGAGTGCTCTGCTGGATTGGACCCTTGGCTCATCTAGTTCAGCGGTGTGTTCTCACAGTGGCCAACCAACTACCCAAGGAAGCCCACTAGTTTTCCAGCAAATGATCTTCAGAGGTAGTTGCAGTGCCATCAAGGCTAATAGTCCTTGATCCCCATAACTTTCATGAAATGGTGCAACCCTTTTTTAAGCCAGGGAAGCTGGTAGTCAGCACCACATCTTGTAGTAGCAAGTTCAAATGTTTAATTATGCATTTAACATTAAAAAAAATCCCTTTGTCCTGATTCTTCCAAGATTCTGTTTCACTGAGTTCTAGTTTTTTGGGAAGAGAGAAATAGCTTTTCCTTGTCCACTTTATTTGTTTGTTTGTATTCCTCCTTTATTATTTTTACAAATAACTCAAGGTGGTGAACAGATCCAACACATCTTCCTCCTCCTATTTTTGCCACAACAACCTGTGAAGTGAGTTGGGCTGGGAGAGAGTGAGTGGCCTAAGGTCACCCAGCTGCCTTTCATGGCTAAGACAGGACTTGAACTTACTGTCTCTGGCTTTCTAGCCTGATGCCTTAATCACTAGACCAAATTAACTCTACACCATACACAATTTTATATACCTCCATCATGTCCCATCTAATTCATCTCCTTTCTAAAACTCTAAATGTTACAACCTTTCTTCATAGGGAAGCTCTCCAGCCTCTTCATCAACTTAGTTGCCTCCCCTAGTGCCCTTATATTCTTTCTGAGATGTCATGACCAGAGATATATACAATGCACACAAATCAGGTACAGTTGTGCCATTGATTTATAGAAGGGCGTCATGATATTACCATCTCTATTTTCAGTTCTGTTTCCTTTATGCCTAACATGCTGTTCGCCTTTTCTTTATTACAGTGGGTGCATACTGTGTCAATACTTTAACTGAACTGTTTACCATTACGCCAAGTTCTCTTTCTTCATCAGCCATTGCTAGCTCTTAATATACACTGTTATTATTATGGTAGGTTACACAGTTGGTCAGATGTTTAGACTGAATTCGGCATTTTTAATCCATGTATTGAGTCCTCTTTAGGGATCTGGGATAAACAGATGTTGTTATTTGATAGTGTTGAAGGTATTATTGAAGGATGTAAGCTGTTCCAAGTAAAGCTGCCTTTTGCAATTGACTGATGGTGATCTTGTTATTCCCTCCCCTCCTTTTTTCTTCCTCTTTCATTTTAACCCTCCCCCCCTTAAATCCATACATTATCAGTGCAGTCTTTCCTTCTCTCAACAAAAAGTCCATATGAGGATTCCAGTCTTTCAAAAGGTCTATATCATTTCTACCCTGACTAAGCTAGTCAATTTCATTTCTGTCAGTTCCATCAGTTTTATAATGCAGTCTCCCATTATAAATACTTCACTATTCTTCCACTATTCTTTATACATCTAGTACTGTAATTTTACTGCAGTTACTATATATCATGTTAATTTCTCATATTTCTTTTCTACTTCAAAGTCCATAAGTTTTTGATCAAAAGCATTCTGGTTTCATCATATTTTCATGTTCACTATGCAAAATTGAAGGTTTTTATTCTTTTTTAATATATTTCTTACCAACATATCAAATAATGAAAAGATTTTTTTCATTCTTGTGGGGAATTCGGATCCTTCATATATCAAATTATAGTTTTTAAATCCCATGTCTGTATTGTAAGTTTTGAAATGTCCCATAACTGTAACTTTAATACCATAAAATCTTCTATTTTCTTTTTTTTATGGTCTTCTGATTTGCTGCAGTGCATTTGTATTTGTCTGAATAATAATAATAATAATAATAATAATAATAATAATAATGATGTTGGAAGGGATCTTGGAGGTCATCTAGTCCAACCCCCGGCTCAGGCAGGAAACCCTATACCATTTCAGACAAATGACTGTCCAGTCTCTTCTTAAAAACTTCCAGTGTTGGAGCATTCACCACTTCTGGAGGCAGGTTGTTCCACTGGCTAAATGTTCTAACTGTCAGGAAATTTCTCCTTAGTTCTAAGTTGCTTCTCTCCTTGAATAGTTTCCATCTGTTGCTTCTTGTCCTGCCTTCAGGTGCCTTTGAAAATAGCTTGACTCCCTCTTCTTTGGGGCAGCCCTTGAGATATTGGAATACTGCTATCATGTCCCCCCTCATCCTTCTCTTCATTAAACTAGACATACCCAATTCCAGAAGCCTTTCCTTATATGCTTTGGCCTCCAGTCCCCTAATCATCTTTGTTGCTCTTCTCTGTACTCTTTCTAGAGTCTCAACATCTTTTTTACATCGTGGTGACCAAAACTGGATGCAGTATTCCAAGTGTGGCCTTACCAAGGCATTATAAAGTGGTATGAATACTTCACGTCATCTTGATTCTATCCTTCTGTTAATGCAGCCCAGCACTGTGTTGGCCTTTTTGGCAGCTGCAACACATGGCTGGCTCCTATTTAAGTTTTTGTCCACTAGGGCTCCGAGATCCCTCTCACAGTTACTACTATTGAGCAAGGTATCCCCTATACTATACCTGTACATTTGGTTTTTCTTGCCTAAATGTAGAACCTTACTTTTTTCACCATTGAATTTCATTTTGTTAGATAGTGCCCAGTGTTCAAGTCTGTCCAGATCCTCCTGTATCCTAAACCTGTCTTCTGGAGTGTTGGCTATTCCTGCCAGCTTGGTGTCATCTGCAAATCTGATGATTTCCCCATCTATCCCCTTATTCAAATCGTTGATGAAGATGTTGAAGAGCACTGGACCCAGAACAGAGCCCTGGGGCACCCTACTACACATTTCCATTGAGGACCACACGCTGAGTATGGCCGGTCAGCCAGCTACGGATCCATCTGGTGGTGATGCTGTCTAACCCACATTTTTCTATCTTCAAGTAGTAGGTTGTGATCTACTTTATCAAATGTCTTACTGAAGTCCAAGTAAATTATATCCACAGCATTCCTCTGATCCACTAATTTTGTCACTTGTTTAAAGAATGCAATAAGATTTGTCTGGCATGATCTGTTTTTGACAAACCCATGTTGGCTTTTAGTAATGACTTTGTTTGCCTCTAGGTGTTCGCTGATTTGTTTGATTATCTTTTCCAGAATCTTCCCAGGTATTGAGGTCAGGCTGATAGGGCTGTAATTTCCTGGGTCCATTTTTTTTCCTTTTTTGAAGATGGGAACTACATCAGCTCTTTTCCAGTCCTCTGGTAGTTCCCCAGTGCTCCAGGATCTTTGAAAAATATAGTTCAATGTTTCTGAGATCACATCTGGTGTAAGATGCATAAGAACATTACTCAGATGAGTACCAACACATAGCAGCAACCCAGAATATCAGAAAAAGGAAAGAGGCCACGGTACATCTTCCAATAAATGGATACCCACTGATTCTTGGCAAGTTCCTAAGTTAGTCCCTGTAGGACTTTTGGCAACATTTTCCAGAAGAGGTTTGCCCTTGCCTTTTTCCTGACGGGTTACTACAGTAGTTCTTAACCCTTTTGAACGAATTGCCCCCTTGAGCCAATGAGGAAGTTGTCATTGCCCCCCTCCCCCAACATAACCTCTCATAGGAAATAATTCTTCAATTTATGCAAACACTTTTTTGTTTTCTTTAAAATTGTAAGCAGGACATATTGATGCAAATAATTTATTTCCAGTCTTTATCTCAACTGTGTGAAAAATTTCAGTGCTACCCATCACTTTATTTCCAAACTTCGTGATACATGTATTTCATTATTATCTTATTTGTTCAAGACACTTAAATGTAATGACCACTGAAAACAAAATTCAATTGCAAGAAAGTGAAATGCCTGAAAAGAAAAATAGTAACATTTAATGATTGAAATACAAGTGAAATTTAAGACTCAAAAAGAAATATAAAAAGGGCACAAGAACAAACCGCAATGCAGGAACTAAGAATTTCAAGATGAAAACTCTGAAACTAAATTAAGATTCGAGGAAAGTATATATAGTCACGCACACTGTAAAAAGGATTAAAAAGACACAAAGAAAATATAATATCGAACTGGAGTGCACGCTAAAAAAGTACAATACAAAGAGACACACAAAATGTTTTACAGAGCACAACAAAAATTTGAAAATGAAGCCAATGCATATTCACGTATGTACAGTGTTCTGTACTGAAGCTAGCTGAAGGAACATTTGAAAACACAATTCAATCCACTAATAGCGAGCAATCTGATGTTTTTGTACGACAGATATACAACAATTCACTGTACGAAAAAGTCTCAAAAGTGTCCCCAAAACCTCTCACTCCATCGCCCCCATATCGCCCCCTTTTCATTCCTTTGCCCCCCTGTCACTCCTTTTCGTTCCATCGCCCCCTTGAAAAATGAAATCGCCCTCTGGGGGGGGCAATATCGCCCAGGTATAGTAACCACTGGGTTACTATATGATTTTCAACCTACAGCAGATATCTTCCAAGGCCAGAGATCCCACCTTCAGCACAACAATGTAGGATATTGTCTAGTTCAGGTACTGTAAATCCAGCTTTATTTGTCAACCTGACAATGTTGACATTGTGGCTACTGTCATTTAGAAGAAATGTTGCAAAAGCAAGGTTTAAAATAGGAACTTTCTAACCCAGCTCCTTCTTGTCACTCTACCTCCCAAATCATTTTCCATGTTTGAAATTTAGTCTGCATATGATAATATTTAAAACTTGTCCTTTGATTTAATAGATACCTTTTCTCTTATTTTGTGAAAAGCATGTGTGCCCCAGAAGACATTTTTCCTA